CACACACACACACACACACACACACACACACACACACACACACACACGGGAGGGGAAGAGAACAGAGTTAGAGACCCAGAGATGGATGGAGACTGGGAGAGGTAGAGGGAAGGGGAGGGAAAGAGAGCACAAGACAAAGAGAAACACAGATGAATGGGGACAGGGAAGGAGGGGGAGAGAGAGACGGAGATACATGGGGACAAGGGAGGGAGGAAGAGAAAGGAAGGGGATGGGGAGAGAAAGAACTCACTGCTTCCGTGCTCTTGTGATTGGTACTAGGTTAATTACTTGCAGTTTTTCTATCCCTTTTCCCTCATCTCCCCTATTTGCTTGATGGCTGTTAAAAATTTCATCATTACTTATAAAATACTTCGTTTTATTTTTCTGAGGGAGTTTTTTCAGGGAAAACCTCTATTAGCCGTTTTTGGGTCAGGTTCCATTTGGACCTTAGCTTTTATGTTCTCTCTAGACCTTAATAAACAAGCAGTATGAGAATCGGCCTGATAAACAGTGCTGGATTTGGAGTCAGTTAGCTCTGGCTGGGTTTCAATCCTGGCTTCTCTATTTACCATCTCTGTGATTCTGGGCAATCCACTAAACCCTTTGGGCCTCATAGCATCTAGTAGAGCGTGTGATACATAGGCACCTAAATAAATTTGAGTGATCTGTAAAAAGTGGGGTTTAGAATAGATATCCCCAAGATCCTTTCAAGCTCTGAATCTATGATCTGGGTGTATTGTAGAGGGTGGGACGTGATGTTTTATTTTGAACAGTGTAACTGTTTGGAAACCTTTGTTCCATAGACCAAGAGCCCCGCCAAATTTGTAACATTTTTAGGAACCACTTCAAGCAAACAACATGCATAGTATTGTAGTATAATAGTCATGGACAAGAGACAGTGTAGTATTATGAGCAGAAGAAGGTCTATCTTGAAGTTAAGGAGATCTGGGTTTGAGCTATGGTTCTGACACATAATAGTATATTATGGGAATATTATATAATATATGTATATAATATATAGTATATAAATGGGAAAATCACTCACTTTCTCAGTGTCAGAGGTGACTCTTTAAGACTGTAAGTTAACAATTAGTTACAGTTTTGGAGAGGTAGGGAGATTTAACATAAGGAGTTCCTCACACTGATGAAATCACAGATTTGGACTCCGCCAAACCCAGAACAGCAACAACAATTGATGCAGTGCTTTTTTTTTACATTGAGCTTCACAGCAAGCCTGTGAGGTAGGTAGTATAGGTATTACCCACATTTTGCAGAGAAGTAAACTGAGGCTTTTTCAGAGAGATGAAGGGGCTTGTCTTTTAGTCACACAATTAGTGTTGGAGGTAGAGTTTGGGCAAGTCTTCCTGACTCTAAGTCCAGCAAACCATCTTCTGTGTCATGCTGTTTCTCTGTGGTGTCTCTTTGGGATATTAGAACAAATGACCAAATATTTGGAGATGATTTTATTTTTGATATGCACTATAAATTCCTCAAAAACTTTTTCTTTATTGAATTTTTTCCATTTAAAAAATCTGAAATTCATAAGCATTGCCAAAATGAGCCTTTCCATATATACTATAGAACAATAGAAGTTATGCATGCAGTTGTAAATCTCTTATAAAAGCTTGCTTTTTTTTTTCAAGTATATACAATTTTCATCATGTAATTTTTTGCACTTTTGTTTGTGATTGCTTCTGGACTATTTTCTCTTCTATAAAATTTCTAAAACTTCACTGATATGAACTAGCTTAATACTAGAATATTAAAATATTTCCCAGGTAATAATAATAATATTAATTATAATGCTCTAAGGTTTATAAAGTGTTCTACAAATATCATCTCATTTCATCCTTACAACCACCTTAGGAGGTAGATACTACTCTTATCCTCATTTTTACAGATGAGGAAACTGAGGTAAGTGACTTGCCCAGAATCATATAGCTATTAAGTGAGGCTGGATTTGAACTCAAGCCTTCCTGACTCCAGGTCACTAGAGTGGATAGGTGACTCTTATTCCCATAGTTTTGCTGTGAGGCTGCCTTGTATATGAGTCATTTATAATGATGTCCTTTTGCTAGTTGATTACTAAATCCCCTGGGAAGGGATCCAGATTAGCCCTACCTTAGAATGAATTTTCTATTGTGAATAGCACCAGTACTCTGTAGGAGCTAATGGGATCATTTAGTGAAGAATCTCTAGCATTCCTTGAAAAGAGTACATCGTTTATTAATCAATTCTCTTTTCTCAGTTGGATGAATTGTGTCAGCAGTCACAGTTTCAGAAACACTCTCACATGTATAACCTACTGATTTGTACTGTTAAACAATACCCAGACACCCTAAACATGACAAATTCAAAATGAAAAACAGAAAAACCTTGTAAAAAGGGAACCTTAAAAAAAAAAAAACAAGGAAAAAAATAGTGCCTAGTAACTCAACGCTAATAGAGTTGAAAGGTTTATTATCCTAACAATAGTAACTTATATTTATTTGAGGATATTTCTCTTTTATTTTCTTTTTTAAAAAAACTTTAAAAATTTAGCTCATAATCAATATGGCTTAGAAATCTACAGCACAGAGAACAAAGTCAGGAAATACCAAGGTCATGGGGGCAAGAGGTTTTATTGATTGCTGTAGTACAGGATAATTATTGCTTTGTAGTCAGAGGTTGCTGTTCTTCAGGGGAACAGAATAGAATCTACTCCTTCTGATCCAGGATTCTCGTTTTTGGATTTTTGAGCCTTACAGAGGCTAGACCCTTTAAACTGTGTAGTTGAAACTTGTGACTATTTTAGGTTAGGTACGGCTAAATTTGGAAGGTACCCTACTAAATGTTAACTTGAACAATGAAAATGCATGATGTGATCTGGTTTGAGTTGCTAGAAGGTAATCTAGACATTCCTTTATTAGTAGTGTATTATAGTGGAAGGAGCCTTGGACCTTGGAGTCAGGAGGAATAGATTTTGATTCCATTTCTGGCACTAGCAAGGTGTATGTCCTTGGATACATCACTCCTTTGATCTTCAGTTTCCTTATCTATAAAAAAGGAGGATGGAATGAAAAGTCCCCTTCCCTGTAATCATCTATAATATGTCTCTTTTGAAACAACTGAAGACTACAAGGTTTTCTCCCAATTTCACATGTACCCTGAAGCAAAGAGAGATTGTGAACCTGTACTACAGTTAGTTGATGATTCCATGATGGAGTTGGGACCAAAATGTTGGTCCATTGAAGCCTCGTCCAAGGATTCAGTATGGAGCTCAATAGTCAAGTGGTGTCATTGGTGACTGATGCATAAAAACCACTGTATTAGGATGATTTTGGCCACTAAATAGAGAAGATTATGGAAACAGAAGCCCACATGTTTCATGTAAACAGAGAGAACAAGAACTTCTCGATACTGTGATTTTGGAGCAGTCAGGTCAATGAGGTGACAACCATAGCTACAAAGTTGGGTTGAGAATGCCTAAGGGGA